ATTACATGTTTCCATTTCTTATTTTGATAACTCTTTTTTCTTTCTATTGGGAAGAGATATTGGGCCATGAAAGGCTACAAGATAATTTATGACTATCTCTACAAGCATTATAATTTTAGATTCCCAGTGAATATGCAGGAGACAGATTCTACATTTTATGATGTGAATAATAGATGGACAAAGCTGCACACAGGAGACAAGATATGGAGGTAAGAAATACGTAGGAGATAAAAAGAAGTGGCTCATGCAGCAATACAGCCTGTATTGCAGTAAAACCAAATAACCCTTTGTCAGAAACACTTAAATATGCAGAGTGCAGAAACCCATCAAATATTGTTTGTCCATCATGATGGTGATTTGTGTTTACAAAGATGCAGCATGTCACGTTGTTACTCATAATCATGTGGTTAACATGGAGCTCAGATCTCTCTCTGGATCTTTTGCAATATAAATCTATCCCAGACTTCCGTTGCTCAAAGTTTGGCTAGTTTACATCCGTTACTGCCGTTTTGAATTATGACAATCTACTTTGAAGTATTGACTAAGCTTTTCAGAAATGATGCTGACAAACCATAACCTCTATACGTGCTGGTTAGTCCCACGTACTTGCCGCAGAGTCCAAACATGGGAATACTAGCAGTAATTATTACTATATATTTTTCCAACCAGCTACCAACAAAAGCAGGCCTTCCCAACAGAAGTTATAGAAATGATATGCAAATACAGCTTATTCACAATGGTATCATAAAGTCTTGTTGGTTATGTGAATTTGTCCTAGGCATGTATTTATACTGAAGCCTACTCACATACTAAATGAGATAAAATGGGAAATAGGAAGGAAATCCTATGGAGATACCTCCAGGTCCTCTTCGGTTTTGTGAAGACTTGTGTGAAGATTATATCTTGCCTTTTGATCACATTTTCAGCTGAAAAACCAAGTACTGGATCGCTTATTCATCCTCACATATGTGCATTTCTTTCTCTTAATTTCTCTCGCTTTCTCACTCCAACCTCCCAGTTTTTACTGAAGCTATAAATCTGGGGAAAATAAGTATATCCATTGTCTATACACACGCACTCACGCGCAAACACACACACACAGAGTATATATTCCTTAAAGAAGTTACCTGAAAGCTTTCTAAAAGATATTTCATAAGATCAGTAACTATGATCGCCTAAGGGCTGATAAGGCAGTATACAAATATAGTAAATAAATAAATAAATAAATAGTAAATAAATATGATTTATTTTCCCAACCAGGTACAAAATGATTTCCATTGCTGCTATATAACATATTTTCATTGCTTTTTCTTTATCCAAAATATGTGGGGCATGTCTTTGTTCATTTTGGAGATACCTTTTCAATGTCAAAAGCATTGTCCTGGAAGTTGCAGGTGGCTCTAGAAATCATCAAGCAAACAATTTCTAACAAAGTCCACTGGAGCCGAAGCAAGTTGTTATCTAACCACGTTATCACACCAGGGGTTTAAAGCAGGCAGTCCCGCATTTCTACCACCTGCAGAATTCTGGGAAATGTAGTTTGGGAAGATGAGGACCTCTATAGCTAAGAATTCAAAAGGTCCCGCTCTAAACTACATTTCCCAAAATTCTGCGGGTAGCAGAAATGTGGGACTGCCTACTTTAAAGCCCTGGTGTGATAATGTCTTAATTGCCTATTAAAGGTCATGTCACAATGAAATTACATAAAATATATGGCCATCTCTTGATTTCCCCTCAATGCAATAGTCAGTGGTTTGTCTATATGTGAACCAATGCCAGCCAGTTTCCTGAGAAAAAAGTAATTTTCAACATTGTTGTGATGTGTTCCAGTTAGAATAAGTCAAAATATGACATTTTTGTGTTTTCTGTAATTACTTCTTGAATTCTTCTCTGTTGTTGTCCTTCCAAATGATCATACAGTGGCTTGGTGTTCACCTTATTTCCCCTTCCTCTCACTGACTTCTTTTGGTTAAAAAAATGGATGTGAGAAGACCAGTAAACTTGTTGTCCCTTCAGAAACTGCAGTCCTGTCTGCAAAGAATTCCCATTAATCTACCTCATCTTCTACATGCCCCCAAATATGAAGTGTGCATGTATAATTTGTCTATACAGTATCTACAGCCTTGCACAATGTCCCACCTTGTCAGCTGCTTGAAAAATGTCCCAGTTTCTTTCACTTCATCTCACCTTTTTATTTATTCTTGGCTTGTCTTGCTTGCAGAAACTAAGTTGAGAGGGCAAAAGTACTTTGTCCCCAACTGAGTCAGTGGGGCGGAGAAGAGAGAAGTGGCAGAAATTTGATTCTTAGTGTAGGTAAAGGTAAAGGTTTTCCCCTGCCATTAAGTCCAGTCATGTCCAACTCTGGAGATTGGTGCTCATCTCCATTTCTAAGCCGAAAAGCTGGCATTGTCCATAGACACCTCCAAAGTCATGTGGCCGGCATTACTGCATGGAGCAAACTGTTGCACCTTCTCCTAGCTTCTTCATCATTAACAACTTTTGCTATTCTTGACGACACTGTGATGTTACTTGGCCTCACACAACCTGGTTTTCATCTGAAATGTTGATAGTACGAGACATAAGTGTTGGCAGGCACCTGAGTAAATACTCCACTTTGCCAGTAGTATACAAAGCTATTGTAAGCGGTCCACAATTATTTGGCCTATAATTCCCAAAAACTGCAGCATGCATCAGCAAAAGTGTTTGTGGGAGCCAAAGTTCAATAATATATGAAAAGTTACAGCTGCCCAGCCCTAATGAAAGGTAGAGAAAATATTTTTAAACAGGACACAGGAAAGGTAAATGGCACTCCTTCTGAAATATCCTGCCTAATATAACTCATTCTGGTTTGTTCGAGATAAGACAAACCCTGTTCAAGGTGGATATAGACTAGGGATAAACAGTAACACGTATGATTCAAGCAAATACATAGTATTTAAAAGGAAGTGCGTGAGTACACAGTCCATCAGTCTATCAATGTTACATATTATTTAAATTCTTCCTCTCCAGACTCACACAGTGGGGGAACTCCAATACAGTCAATAGCACACCCACTATACTTTCATGGGTGATTTCTCAGTTTAAATTGCCACACCTTGAAATAGGGGAAATTAGCCCAGTGAGCAATTCTGCCCACCTTCAATTGTTTTTGTGCTTTGGCACCACTTGCTATAATATTATTATAATCCAAAGAATTGGTTGAACTTTAACCAGAAGTGTTTCCTGTCTGACTATACAGTTTTGTCAACAGTCTAGATTATGCTTGGAACTAGGCAGAAAACAATGAGTGACTAAATGGGCAAATCGAAATTTTTATATGTTGTGATGCAACCTTCACAGAGCAGCGGATATGCACTGCAGGTGCAGCCTTTAATTAGAAATGTTGGGCAACATCCTACCCTACTGTCATTGAGCCTATTCAAGTTATTGATCAGGGAGTGTAGTGTTCTCTCCTGGGTGAATGAAACAGTTGAAGGCTCCTTGGTGCAGCTCTACTTTCCCATCATGGTCATCGAACACCCATGGATATGCCCCAAGGCTCTGTGTGACTATGTAGTACACACAGCACCAACTATTAGCTGGGAGTGAGGTAGAGATTAATCTAGAAGCCTTCATCTTCTCTTAAAGCAGGCATGTCCAAAGTATGGTCCAGGGGCTGCTCTGGTGAGCAATCTGGCTGCTGCCCGTTGGACCACTTGAAGCTTCCGATCAGTCTTCAAAGGTGACCCCATGTCGAGTGTGTTTTAGTAGTCTATTCAGAATGTAACCAAAGCATGGACTTACATAGCCAAGTCTGACTTCCCAAGGTATGGGCACAACTGGTGCACAAGTTTTATTTGTGTGAAAGCTCCCCTGCCCATCACTGAAACCTCAGTGATGAGTGTAGGAAAACTCCCAAGCTGCGAACCCGCATCTTCAGGGGGAGTGTAACCCCATCCAGCACAGGTTGTAACCCTATATCCTGTTTGGCCTTTCAACTGACCCAGAGTACCTCCGTCTTGTCTGGATTCAATTTCAATTTGTCCACTCTCATCCAGACTGTCACAGTTACCAAGCATAAGTTCAGGACCTAAGCAGTCTCCTTAGTTGCAGGTGAAAAGGAGTGATAGAGTTGTATGTACAGATGACATTAAACTCCATAACTCCAGATGATCTCTCCCAATGGCTTCATGTAGATGTTAAATAACATTGGGGGGGGGGGCAGTACTGAGCCCTGTGGGACCCCACAAGACAATGGCTGCGGTGCTGAGCAGGTGTCCCCCAACAACACCTTTTGGGAATGGTCCTCTAGGAAGGACTGGAGCCACTGCAAAACAGTACCTCCAAAACTCATTTCCACAAGGCGTCCCAGAAGGATACAATGAAAAAAGCAATCCTGCTTGAATATAGCTTTACAGACATCATAGTTGCAGCAGGAGAGGAGGCTTGTGTGATGAGGCTCATAGTTATACTAGCACGACCCCTGGTTCTTGTAATATAAAAACTACAAAGGATTCTGGCCCCTACTTCTTGTCCTCATCAACTGTTTGTTAACCATAACTGGAACACAGAAAGGTATTCCAATCTGATCTTGGAGCACAAGCAGGATGGTTAGGAGAGGAAACAATCCTTGAGATTCCCCAGAATCAAAGTCATTTCTGATGGCACAGAAAGAGTCCCATTCAAATATGGAAGTCAGAAGAAAGATGAAGAAAGAAGAAAGAAAGAAAGAAAGAAAGAAAGAAAGAAAGAAAGGAAGAAAGAAAGAAAGAAAGAAAGATGTATGCTCTTTCTTCTCTATAGCCTGACTGCCTCAGTACAATATTCAAAAATACTTTTGCCAATTATCTGATCAGATTGCATAAAACCCACTCTTTCAACAAAACAAAACATATTGTTTTAGAAAGCAAATAAAAGTATGTCAAATCAGTTACTGCAGAGTAATCAAAAATGCTTTCCCACAACACCTGGGAATATGCTGACTGAGACCATGTTTTCAGCCACTGGTGGGAGAGCAGATTTCCCAAACTCCAAGCCTCCTTGGGTGAAAGGTGGGGAAAGGAAGAGCAGTGTAAGCATGTTTACTTTACAGTCACTCGGAAGTTGAAATTTGTCTCTGAGAGATGATGACTCACTTGAGTAGCTCTATAAAAGTCAACCTGGTTAGAAGCTAAACCATCAGACTTTCAGAAACTTTAGCATTACCATCCAGGAGAATGCATCCAAGTTCTGCAGCTGCCTTTTTCCTGTTGCTGGGCATCTCGTGGTGCTTTAGATTACCAATATCAGATGAAGATGACAGTGATGAATTCACAAATCAAGATTTTGAGTTTGCAGAGGTGGAGTACAAATTTCCTTATAAATAATCTTACTCCATTACTTCAGTCTTTTCTACTTGTCTCTGTTGTCCTCTCTTGCAGAACAGAGGCTTGCTTTTCTCCATTTGTTACTCTCTATCATAATGATGAAGCTCTTCATTTTCTCCTCTTACTTTATCAGAAACTATGGTTTCATATAAAATTGGAAGTCTAACTGTTGTTTTCTCTCTGTTCAGCGCTATCTAAAGACACACTACAATCTCCACTCCAGTCCTGCTGGCCTCCTGCGAAAATCAGCTAGCACATTTGCTTCCAAACTTCGAGAAATGCAAGCATTTTTTGGGCTGGAGGTCACTGGCAAACTGGATGAAGACACGTATGAGCTGATGAAACAGCCACGCTGCGGGGTCCCTGATGTGGGGGAATACAACTTTTTCCCTCGAAAGCTGAAATGGTCCCAGAATAATTTAACATACAGGTAAGAAAACTAGCTGTATGTTGATATAGCTTTGTGGGATGACAACACAAAACAGGTGGATACATTCAATATTCAATTATTAAAAAAAGGTCAAAGAAAATGGCTGAAAGGAAGGCAGACCAATACTCCAGGGCCTTTGGGGTATGCTAATTCTCGTCTCATTTTAAAAAAATGTTTTTATCTACTGTATATACTCATGTATAGATCTAGAACTTTTAGTTTAAAAAAATGACCCATAATAATGTGGTCAGTGTTTCTACAGGTCAATGTAAGTATGATATCTTAAACCTTTATATAAAAAAGGAACCATCCACTTATCTGAATAGAGTTGTAGAAGCAGAGCTTAGTCCATCATAGGAGAACCTAAAAGAAGCCATGGCCCACTCTACTCTCTCCATGGTGGTACCACTTCTGACTTTTTTTGAATGACTGGACAGCAAAATGGCCTCAGTGGTGGCCAGGGGTGGGTAGCCTCCTAAGGTGGTACTGGTGCTTTCTCTTCCCTGTGGAATGACCCTTGACTTATCTATGTATCATACAAAAAAACCATAATTCTTGCCTCCAAATTTGCCCTCAGTTTATATGTGAGGTCAACTTTTACATGGCTATATATGTGGGATACTTGTGTGCTTTTGTATCATTGCACCACCATCATTTATTTATCCAAGGGCTGTGCTTGCTAGCCATGTGAACAGTATGTAGATAATATTGTGCTACTTTTAGAAACTTTTATTTCATTCTCCCTACAAAGGACATCACATCTTTATATATGTTACTGGTCTTCAAACCTGTAGCTAATGCAGAGAGTACTAAATGAGCTGCTTTCCTCAATGAGTATTCTGCCCCCCCCCCCAAATTAAATTTTCCTCCAGTCCCCAACTTTTTAGGATTTCAAAGAACTTAAAAATAGTTCACATCTACCTGTGTTTTTAGTCCTTGGGCTTCTATATTTGCCTTTTTCTATCATAATGTGGACAGCTACACTGCATTTTTAACTACTCGGCTAACATTTTACGTTACCACTATAGATCTAACTAAAGGAAAATTTCATTGGGAACACAGAATTCTTGATGGGGTGTAAAGGTGATTTGGAAATGAGACAATCAAATTTCAGGATTGACTTGAGAAAGAATGAGCATATCTTTATGGGAAGCATCAGAATTTTTATTTATTAATTTCAATCACCCTCTTATAAACAGTGAGCAATATCAGAGCCAAATGTGCCAAGATGTAATCTTTATCAACAATATTCTTTGGTTGAGTTATTTTCCTCTATTTTTGAAATATACATAGCTAACATAGTGTGATCATTACACATTTAAATGCCAGGGTACTAAAAAGCAGGTTCACATAAAAGCAGGATTAGGATCAAGCCATTCGTCAAATTGAATAGAAAGAAACAAGTTTACCTTTATTACATGTGGACCCTAACCCTTACAGCTACTTCCAAGAGGAAACTCTGATGCATAAATGTGTATGTTTCTGTTTGCTAAACTGGCACGGTCACAGAAATGTTTTGCAACATTTCTGACCACACAGTGAACTGATTGTTTTTGTTTGACAGGATTGTAAATTACACCCCTGATCTGAAAAAGTCTGAAGTGGACAGAGCATTCAGGAAAGCTTTCAAGGTTTGGTCTGATGTGACACCACTCAACTTCACTAGAATTCGCAGTGGTATTGCTGATATCATGATTTCCTTTGGAAGGAAAGGTAGTAAGAGAGAAAAGACTTCGTATGTTCATTGCTACATTTTATTATCAATTAATCATGCGCATAGTACTATTTATTACTTTTTCGAATGTTTGCAGAACATGGTGATTTCTATCCCTTTGATGGACCTTCTGGACTCCTGGCTCATGCTTTTCCCCCTGGACCAAATACTGGAGGAGATGCTCATTTTGATGAAGATGAACTGTGGTCAACTGATTCCAATGGTAATAAGCAATATAAAAAAAGCATTTATCTCTTCGGGGGTTATTCTTTCTAAATAAATGTTTATGCAGTGCTGGACAATGCTTAACTAGTAAATTATAGAAGATGGGCTTTTCATCTGGATAAGGGTTGACTATCTCTTATCCAGAAATCCAAAACCCTGCAAAATTCAATATTGTCCACATTGGTGGTAGTAACACCTTTGTTTCCTGATGGTTCAACCTTTGTTTCATACACAAAGTATTTAAAAATATTGTATTAAATGGCATTCAGATTATGTATATGAAATACAACCATTTTTTGTGTTTATATTTGGGTCCTATATCGAAGATATCAAATTATGGTTATGTATGCAAAAATAAGTATCTGAAATTATCCAAAAACTAAAATATTTTGGTCTTAAGCATTTTGGATAAGGGGTACCCATCTTGTACTAATAATGTATTGAATAGTAAATTGAATTTTTAACTTTGATTATGGTTGACTTGCTGCTCCTTGCTCATGTAGCCTTACTTATCTTCTTAAGCACCTTGATGGTATTCAACTTAACTTATGGGTCTGTTCCGTTTAAATTACTGGCCTTAGTCCCACATTTGGGTTGGATTCTCAATTTAATTTTATTTAAAACTTTGAAACATTACCTTCTGAATTACCAGTCCTCACATCCCTAGCCAGTATAGCCAGTGCCCATGCTAGCAAGGGATTTTGGGAAGTTCTAGACAAAAGTAACTTTTCTAAGCTCTAGTTAAATAAATGAATTTCAGTGAAAGACACATTTCTGTTCCTTTACTATAAAGTTATTAGTAAATGATAATTCTAGGAAACATTCATATTTTATATCATGCTGCAAAAAAGGTTCATCCTGTTGAGTGTTGTAAACTTTATTGCTTTTTAATATATGGAATGTGTCTTCTAGGATATAACTTGTTTATTGTGGCAGCCCATGAGTTGGGTCATTCACTGGGACTTGAGCATTCCACAGACCCTGGTGCATTGATGTATCCAGTTTACACATATACAGGAAACACGGGTTTCTTGCTTCCAGATGATGATGTACAAGGAATCCAGACTCTTTATGGTATGGCTGCTTTTTGTCTTATATATTTCACATAGTTTAAATATGTATTGGAGTTTATGGGTAATCAGTTTCCTTAGAGGATCCTGTTTACCAGCCTGATGTTCCAGTCTTTGAAAGATTTCACGTTGCATGCACATTATTACAGCTTCTTATGATCAGTCCCTATGTTAGACCAAAATATTCAGTTCAAAAGAGTACAAGCTGTTATCACCTAAAATATTAATATGTAGGACCAAATACGTTCACAATTCAACAGGCAAGCAAGGACTTAGGACCAGCCATAATTCTGCAGAGTAGATTGGGGTAATGGGGTTAACGTTCATTGGCTAAATTGCATTTGTTCCAAAATACATTGAAGAAAATTTGCACTGATATTAACATATCATTTTCTTGGACAGGTAAAGGAGATCATGATCCTCATCCTGATGATCACCCTAAGACTCCAGAGAAATGCAGTCCAAACCTGGTACTTGATGCCATCACAGAACTTAGAGGAGAAATGATGATCTTCAAGGACAGGTGAGAGCCAAGTCAGCTATCATGTGTTTCATCTATACACATGGATTCCCCATCTTCCCCACATCCACTGTGTGCATTGTTCATTGAGGAGGACTATGACTGATTATACACTAGACCCTTCACTTTAGTGGAGGTTAGAAGCCCAGGACCCCCACAAAAATAGAAAAAAATGCAATTAAAATAACATTTTATTTAATCTCAGAAAACACCTCTCTAATAATCCCTATGTGCTCCAGCATAACTACATTGCACTGGAGGACTTGAGATTCCTAGAGAGAACATTTTAATCAAATATGCAAATGTTAAACCCACAAATATGGAGTGCTGGCTGTACAGTTGAATTACTTTCGTAGGCCTTCAGATCCCCCAAACCAAGTATAACCAACTTACTATGTATTTTTGCCAAGTAAGAATATGCTTACAATAACCAAGTCCTCATACTGAGAATGATATGATATTGCATAGTGTTCAGCAGGAGTCTAGTTAATCTGTTTTATATTATTAATAGTATTAGTTGTACTTAATTCATTTTTAGTCTATCTTTCTATTGACAATGAGACTCAAGGTAGCTAAAAATATATTGAAAACAATACGAGAGAAAAGAAATCCAAAAATTAGAATAAAAATATAAATATATGATTTAAAATAAACAATTAGTAAATTAAAAGATTAAAAAATACTGTACAGTATTAACTGATTGTCTAACAGCTCTGAAATGCCAAGGAGAATTTATAATAAAATGTATTTGTCTTATAATCTGTTCTAAAAATTCGAAATAAGTTGTACTGGTCAATGGAAAATCAGTTAAGACAATACTATGCTCTCTTATTGCCAACAGTATTGTACAATAGTATGCTCCCTTATTGCCATTATGGCTTCATTTTCAAATAACTGCTTCAAAAACGTATCTACTTGCTCATTTAAAGAAACCATGAAAAGATTCCACCACAACAGCTGACTCTTGGTGCAAGGGGACCTGACAATGGGAACTGACCTTCTCTTCTCTTATTGATCAGTTTGTAGTTCCTCTGGCCACCCAGAAGGCGAATATAATGCAGATAGCTCATGATCTTTGACATTTCCCAAGGGACATAATTCATGGGTCATGAATCAGGTCCAGTTGCTTCGTGAGTTTCAAGACCTTCAGATCAGTCATCTCCTTATCCATGGACCATTTCATACCCATTTTCAAAGAGGAAATGCTAAAGAGGATACAGTTTGGAAGCCAGCTCCCTGTGGTCTTCAAAGGTCAAGAAACATTTCTGTCCAACCATTATGCTTTAGACTGCTATTCCCACAATCCCTCAATGAAAGTCATGCCTTGGAATCATAGAATCATAGACTTGGAAGAGCCACATGGGCCATCTAACCCAACCCCCATGCCCCTGCCATCCTACACAGACTATCTACTATGCAAAAAACATTGTTGAATATCTCGGATGGAGGGCGATTAATAAGTAATTAAAGATAATGATGATGATGATGATGAATATGTTCTAAGACAGGAATAGCCTTTGTACCTTGAATGTTAACTATATTTATTTGTACTATGTAGTGTGATATGAGAACCAGCAAGTTTATGAACTAATTGAAAGAACAGTTCCACTTCTTAATTTCTGATGTTCTTGTTCCTGTCACAGATTCTTCTGGCGTCTACATCCTCAGATGGTTGATGCAGATTTGGTACAAATTAAGTCCTTTTGGCCAGAAATGCCAAGCAAGATTGATGCAGCATATGAAAACACCGAGAATGATCATGTGTTGCTTTTTAGGGGTAAGTTTCTGCAGAGGTCAGAATCCCTGTTCCAAGCGTTGTATGAAAATGCCTGAAGGAAATTCTGATTATTGTTAATGTGAACTAAGAGAAGAAAGCAAAATCATTTTCAGTCCTATTTAACATAAGGCACGAATGTCGGGACATTGATATAACTGATGCTATATTATAATCAGCATTTATGTGAACATGAATACAAATCCCAATTTAAGCCTAACACTTTCCCCCCATTCATTCACAGGCCGGAAGTTTTGGGCTTTGAATGGTTATGACATAGTAGAAGGCTACCCAAAGAAGATTTATGAACTGGGTTTGCCAAGATCTGTGAAGGCAATCGATGCAGCTGTCCACTTCAGCGAAACAGGCAAAACGTTGTTTTTCATTGGTGAAAAATACTGGAGGTATGCTGTTGATTCTTCTTTCTCGCTTTTCCAGTGATACAAAATTAGCATTGGTATAATGTACCCAGCTTCTGCCAACCTAGCAGTTCGAAAACATGCAAATGTGAGTAGATCAATAGGTATCGCTCAAGTGGGAAGGTAACGGCACTCCATGCAGTCATGCCGGCTGCATGACCTTGGAGGTGTCTACGGACAACACTGGCTCTTAGCCTTAGAAATGGAGATGAGCACCAACCCCCAGAACTGGACATGACTGGACTTAATGTCAGGGGACAACCTTTACCTTTACTATAATGTACCAAACATCTTTTACCACCTCACCACCTTCCAAAAGAGATCTAAGTATATCTGCCAACTGTAGTTGTAAGAGTTGACTTCACTACTGAACTGCGCTATTTTTGTTGCATTTACATCCTGCTTTTTGGCATTGTTGTTTTGTGATTTTTTTCATTCATCTGGATTTTATTTTGTTGGGTTTTGTTGGGAATTGCTTTGACTGCTAATGCTTGAAAAACAACCAAAAATTTCAGGAAAATAAATAAATAGATATGAGTTTATTTATATTTTAATATTTTCTTTATTATAGTTATGATGAAAACAAGCAAGTCATGGACAAAGACTACCCTAGACTTATTGAGGATGATTTCCCAGGAATTGGTAATCGAGTGGATGCAGCCTATCAGAAAAATGGTATATATTCCTTCTGCTCAGAGATAGAGTTCGTGCCTGACATTCTTACTGTTTGAGGCAATGATATTGAACCATGAGGCCTTGCTTATTGTTGCGGTTTTTATTTGGTTGTCTAAATAATGCCAGGCAGCTAGATCAAGTCTCCATTTTAATTTCCCACAATGCCCTGATTTAATTATCCTTTGAGTTACTATGGGAAGTTACAATGCTGGATTGATATTGCCACCTGTTGCTGATGTTATTACCTATCCTTTCAGCTGCCAAGGCAATTACACAAACTCATTTATAGAAAGGATTGACCAGGGAACAGTCTGCCCAGGATCTCCTCAAACCAGGAGCCAGACCATATTCATGAGAAGGCCTTTTTCCCTCCTGGATGTTTGTCATAATTGGAGTCATGTTCCCTTATAGCACATAGAAAAATGTGGTGGATGGAAGAGCCCGGGGAGGGTATAGATAGAAGAAGGCAAGGGTGACATATCTCTAGGCACAAAAGTGTAAGTGTTCTTTTGTCTTTGATTCTGGCAATGCTGATAGTGGCTCACCTTCTGGTTTTGTTGTTGTTATTATTTGCCATCAACTTTGACAGATGGCAGTCCTAACAATAAGAGATTTCCAGAATCTCTCATCATCGACTGTTCAGGTCTTGCAAACTGAGTAATGTGGATTCCCCAATAAGAAAGTGTTATAAAATAGTTAACATGACATGAATTCATGAATAAGTTGGGTGCAGATATCTCTGCTTGGTGATACCAGGAAGTTGTGAAAGTCTACTCTAGTATCATACTCAAGAAATCATTTTGCAAGCTGGAGAAAACGTATCTTAAAATACCAAAGTAACAGCATGAGCTTGAGACTTAACTTGGCTATAGATAATGAAAAAGCTGATTCCATTAAGGATGAATCCAAGATTATCAACCTTATCACATTAGCTATAGGATTTGACCCACATCAGGGCAAATCCCGTGTGGGATGTGGAGAACCTATTGCCCCATGCCCCACATCACCTGGCTTCTCCTTTACCACGTCCCACGGGGGAAGTGTCCATCGCCCAGCTTCCTCCCATTGTTAGCTATACAACACAGAAAGCTTCCTGTGTTGCCACCTCCAGAATAGTTTGTCATTGTGAGATGGGAGCCAATGGGCTCCGTGGCACAACTAGAGTGGGACCACCATACAACAGGCAATTTATCCTCTCTGATGGCTGAGATCCTAAGTGGAAAGAAATTTTCACAGATTTCCTTCCACTCCAGCCCTTTCTGTGATTCAGTAAGATTTCCCAGGTCTCCCAGTGAAAACAAGAGTCTCCAACCGGAAGAGCCACCCCCTTTTTGCTAGCAAGAACACCTTATTCATTAAAGAAAATCACTCAGAATCCTAGCCACTGGATTTTGAAAATATTCAGTATCCTAGCAACTGTATTTTGAAATCATGTAGTAAGTTTTATCAATGGAATAATAGCATCCTAAACTGAGGGTTTTTTTTTTTAAAAAAAATCTCACAACTTTTTCTTCTCCTGCAGGTTATATATACTTTTTCAATGGAGCACTGCAGTATGAATTCAACATCTGGAGTGAAAGAATTATTCGGGTCATGAAAACCAACTCAATTTTCTGGTGCTGATTACATTGAGCTGAGTTCTGCACTGTGGAGTGAATTTGTCACCTATGAAAAAGAAGAATCTGGGTGTTGAGATTTTGCTGTTGTTTTGTAGCCCAGAAGCTTGATTCTGTGAACAAGCCCTGGCACTGTAGCCACTGACTTTATATTGTATATATGGGACTGTTTAATAGAACAAACATCAGTCTGGAACTGAGTTAAATGGATAAAAGGGCCTTACACTATTGTATTTAGGGCCTTATACTATTTAGAAATCGAATGACGAAAAAAGTAATTTTAATGTCAAGTTCTGATGGAAAGATTTTGTCTGTGCCATTATAGTATTGAAGAGCTGAAGATCAATTAGCACCTGGAGAAATGGATTTAGCACATTTAAGGTAAAGTCATTCCCAAATCTCCTGAAAGTCGAGAGATTACTTTAAACACTTAGAGCTGTATAATGTGTCACTGGAATGGTTCCTTGCTTTCTTTTCTTCCTTGTAATTTAGCATTCTGTTTTGTCTGCCTCTTCTCCTATCTGCATTAACCAGACTGTATTAGTTTATGTATTTATTTATTTAAAACATTTGTTGATCATTTGCAAAGTTAGAAACATTTAATTTTGAAATGCCAGCTCCCAGAAACCTTAAGCCAGGCTGGATCTACACTGACATATAATCTAGATTATCAAAGTAGATTATCCACATGGATTTTATATGGCAGCAGAGATCCAGCCTTAGTTTTCTTTCCAGACTAGATGGTTTACAAAGGGTTCCTTCTCCTTTCCTCCCAAGGTGACTAACAGCAACAAATAGACATGTTGAGGAGAGGTCCTGAGATGCAATGTTCCTCCCAGCATTCATGATGTTCTGACCAGTGGAGATTTTCTTATTGAACAATTGTATGCTATTGTCACATTGGGTTAGAAGAAGAAGCAGAACTAGTGACCATCCTAGCTGGGAGGTCTAAAGAATAACATATCCAAGTTTATGCAATATCCCAGCTTACCCAAACTGCCTGTATAACAAGAGTGGGAAAAGGAAGTCTAAGGACCACATGCAGCACCTGAACCCCACATTTGTGGCCCTGGAGTCCCCTTCCCACCTTCCAAATCCTCTTGAATCTCACTGTTCTTTTTTTAAAAGTTGGAGTGATTTTGGGTGAGCATTACCCAAAGGTATGACCCCAAGCCCTTTCAAATGCATGTGAACATCTCCTAATATAGATAGTCTAAAAATGTGAAAAACATCTGAAACATTTCTGGTCTTGAGCATTTTGGATCAACCTGTGTGTAACAATGTAGATTATAATCTTTTTTATTTTGAAAAGGGGAAAGATCTACTTTTTCAATGTTTTCTACTTATTTTGTATTTGTTCCAAAATTCTCTAGAGGTTCTCAGCATGGGCAACATTTAAGGTACTATTTACACCTTGTCTTTAAGCCCTGGTTTTAGACATTGCTAAATAAAACATAGAAAAAACACAGATGTGATGTGTCTTACTTTGCTTGGTACCAAATGCTATTTAAAGTAAAACAGGAACTGTCAGAGCTCTACCAGCAGGTCGTTCCACAGTCGTGGGGCGGATGCCAAAAAGGTCCTATGGGTGGTGGTTGCTAGTTGCTGGTGGCTGGCAGGCTGGTGCATATGCCCTCCAGAGGAACTCAGTATTCAGGGCAGATTGTTGAGGAGAAGGCAATCCTATAGGTAATCTAAACCCAAACCATGTAGGGCTTTAAAGGTCAGAACCAGCATTTTGTACTTTGCCTGGAAACTAATTGACTCACAAAGTTTTAGAAAAATAATAGCATTTCTTGGTGCTCTGTAGGTTCTTTAAAAGTACATGAAAAAAGCATTGCAATATAGAGTGTGCAAGGTGACTCCTCATAACATTATCTCCTCAAAGGACTTATCTACATTGGGCGGGTCAGTCCTGGGTAAATCTGCTTCAGTGCAGTCATAGATCCAGTTTAAATGTGCTAAATCTTGGGCTATTTTTAGATGAACCCAGTTCATAAAACTGTGCTTGCACAAACATGATTATGTTATCAGGAGCTTAGGTTTCAACAACCAACAGGAAAATCAGCCAATGTCAAGAGTCTGACACCAGAAAATCCCAAATTCAGGAGTAACTGAAAGTCAAGCCAGATAACAAGCAGTACAAACCATAAACAAGATAGGAGTGAGCTGATGCCAAGTTCCATGGTCCAAGTAGCTGAAGTCAATCTGGTGAAGAACAGAGTCAAGTCAGGAACAAATGAAAGCTAGGCTCATAGTCCAAGGTCAGAAATATCAGTCGTCTTAAAAGCAGCAGTTAGGTTTCAAATCAGGAAGCAATGACATTGTCTGCCTCAATAAGACACAACACTCTTTATCCTATGATTAAATGGCAGTTGCTTGTTTAATGCTCATTTCTCTGCTAAACTCTCAGATCTGCGATGCTCTGCTCACTCTCTTCAATGATCCAAAGGTGGAAGTATGTTTAACTCTTCTCTAACCTGTTAGGATATACTTGCTTCAGCTTGCTCAGACTGCTAGGGAGTGATTTCTGCTGCTGAAGGCTTGTATTCATCAGTGCCTAAGCTAGGTTGGGGAGACTTCTGGGATCTGCTGACCTCCACGTCATCTGTTGGCCCTTCCAGTAACTCCCTCATTATCAGAGCTGGCCAACACAGTGCTGAGCTGCCACCTCCTCCATGTCATTGCCACTTCTGACCAGCTATGGGACTCTGTCCAAGTGCCTGGCCACCACCCATTATGTACTTAGGGTGAGCAAGCTAAAGTGGACAGAAATTGAACATATCGTTTCAGATAACTACATTTAGGAACATATAAGAAGAAATGGGTGGCATTAAACATGAGGACAGATGTAGCAAAAGCAGGCAAAACATATAATGCAAAGTCTGAGTGAATCATATCAATAAGATTTCAGTGAAAGCATATCAATACAAACACAATCCAAGTCTATGTTTCAGTTACAGATGCAGAAAAAAAGAAGCAGAAAGGTTTGTGCTGACATCCCAAAGGAAATTAATTGTACACCAAATAATAATCAATTGGAATGTGAAGGTAGGAAAAAAAGCAGAATCAAAGATTGTTGAAGAATTTGCTTTAGGATCAAGAAATGAAGCAGGACAACATCTGACTGAATTCTGTGAAACCAACAGTTTGTTCATAGCAAGCACATTATTCAAGCAACCAAAGAGACAACCATATACATGGGCATGATGTGATAGTCAATATGGAACTCAATCAGATTACACAATTGGAATCAGAAAATGGAGAAGCTCCAATCCCTCTGCAAAAATACCAAGAAATAATGCAAATTAATTAATTAATTAATCCAACTAGAAGATGTTATTTCTTCAAATGTACCCACATACCCTTCAACATTTCATAGATGGAAATTGAAATGTGTGACATAACAACATCAGAGAGTGGTCAAGATAGAGAAAGCTATTAATAAAGAAGAACACAAAAGTCAGAAGAGATTGCAGTAGTTTGCTTTTGCCTGAGTCTCCAGAGAAGGGCAAAACTTTCTTATCCCTCATGTTGAGTTAACTTAGGGGCATTCCACACAGTCATATAACTCAGAATATCAAATCAGAGAATCCACAATTATGCTTTGTACTGGATTATCTGAGTCCACACTGCCATATAATCTAGTTCAATGTGGATAATATGGATGTTATACAGCTGTGTGGAAGGTGTCTGAGGCCCCTTCTACACTGCCATATAAAATCCAGATTATCTGCTTTGGACTGGATTATATGGCAGTGTAAACTCATATAATCCAGTTCAAAGGAGATAATGTGGATTATCTGCTTTGATATTCCAGATTATATGGCAGAGTAGAAATGGCCTTAGTGAAGACTGCTTGTGCACTTTGAACACAGCTGAAATAAAGCAAGGGCAAGGGTGAGAGTAGGATAAAAATGGGGATATTTTACAAGCAGATGAAAAAGTAGGAAAACCCAGACTGTCCCTGCCAAATTAAGACAATTGAATAGTATGCACAACATGTAGAAAAGTGTGAATTTCAAAGGAAAGACTTTTTACATTGAGTGTTCAGGGTTGGAAAACTGACAATTTCATTAGGACATACCAATCTAATTGAAATTATTTCCATCCCTATTGTCAGTAAATGAAAAATTGCAAGGAAACACTAGGGGTCACTTTTGCCTTGTTATTCAGTAAACTGTGGAACAGAAAGATCCTTTCAAAAATTGGTCTGATGGGGAGGGGTCATGGCTTCCAGGCTAGGGGGTCAGCCAGGGATACCGTTCTTCTTTGGCAATATTCCCCACAACCCTTTCTAGAGATAATTTTCTCTTTATTGCATCAAATGTCAGCCTTGCAAGTGAAAGACCAGGAGCAGAGTCACTCTCCAGTTTTACCCCATGTATTCTCCCCCAGCTCCATAGAAAAGAAGAAGCAGGCAAAATTCACTAACCTAGGTTTACTCACAAAATACTTTATAACTTGGTAGACTTGGTAGAATTGAGTGCCATCTCCTGTCTGATTATGAATCACCACTTTGAGCTATTCTAGTGACTTGTAACTTTCCCGACGTGTTGTGTGCTACTAAATCAATTGAACCATGACTCACAAAGCATTCAGGTATGGGCAGTGGTGTTGCTAGGGAGAAAGATCAAAATGAAAGTATTGTCCCTTCAAAAATGAATTCTACCTCTTCCCAACCCATGATTTGTTCCTCCACTTGCAAAAATTTTAGTATTGCAGGGGGTGAGACTTTTCATTCACAGCTTGAAATTTTCTATGTTTGCATTCCAAATCAGTTGCAGGAATTGATTACCATGAGCAAGAGGAGGAGTAGCAACAGCAGTGAATGTTTCTTCTTAAAGTCTGGCAGAAACTTGCAAAACCACCTCTGAGTATTCCTTGCCTAAGAAATCCTTGGAATGAATGAGGTTGCCATAAGCTGATGGTGACTTGAAGCACATACACACACAGGAGAAATCTGAGTGGAACTCTTTTCTGGACTGCATGGATAACGTGATCTTTTCTGACCAATTCTGAAACCAGAATCCTCTTGTTAATTTATGCAGGACTAATGCTCCGTCACATTAGTGTAAGGCATTTTTAGAAGTGCAACAAAAGTCTAAAACTAAAGTCATCTCTGTTTCTAAAGAACAAAAAACAGAAGGGAAGCTCTCTTTCTTTAAATGAAAGGAAGTATAATACCAAAAGCTTAACAAATAGGTGATGGAAAGGTGACTTACTATCCATTTTTAAATATCTGAATGAATATTGTAAAGGGGATCAACGACACACTGGGCAGGAGGGAAAGCAATCCACCCACTGCCCACCAGTGTGAAAGATGTTAACGTTCAGCTGGACACTGCTTTAACAAAGATAAATGACTGTGACAAAGGGGGAAAGACTCTCTTATCCCACCTCAGTAATAATACTATTGAGTGACCAACTGTGATGTAGTTATTGACCGATGTAATTAGGTAGATTCACCACCACCACCTCAATTATATGTCTGAGGAAAACATAAGTGTGAATGTGAAAATGGTAAAGTTTTTTCAAACCTTTGGTTCCTCTTTAACAACTGCTTCTTTTGCTGACTGGACTGAAATAGAGCTGTCTTTAGACTTGCTGAGATATGATGATTGTGACAGAC